TTGTACTTTTTGAAATGTTAAAATATTATCCATCGACATGTAAATTTCTATGTCTTGTTCGATGTCAAACTTCTACGAATCCATTAGATCGTATTCGAGATAATATGATATATCTTCAAGTATGGAATGATGATTTTCGTGAACGAATTATTCCTTTACGAGGTGATCTTACACAATATCATTTTGGACTTGATGATGCAACATATGAAGATTTTGCTAATAAAACAGATATTATTATTCATTGTGCTGCTATCGTTAATTTTGTATTACCGTATAGAATACTTCATGATACAAATGTTAATGGTACTAAAGAAATTATTCGTTTTGCTTCTCATCCTTCGGCATATATACCAATAATATATATGTCAACAATGAGTGTGTTATCGAATGGAATAAATGATGAAATATCTATTGATAATATTCGTACAGATCATTTAAGTAATGGCTACACACAAAGTAAATGGGTTTCAGAAATACTCATGACAAAAGCTAGTCGTATTGGTATACCAGTTATTATCTATCGTTTAGGATCTATTGGTGCTAGTACTGAAACAGGTGCTTGTAATAAACATGATTTAAATACATTATTCCTTAGTACAATTATGATGAGTGGTTATTATCCATCGACAATCGTAAAAAAGAAGTTTAATCAATTACCTGTTAATTTAGCTGCTCATACGATTATTATTCCTAATCAAAATCAATCTTATACTTATGGAAAGATTTATCATATTGTTAATCAAAATGAAACAATCTCATTTGAAAATATTGCCGAATGTATTTGTAAGTGTGGTATTAAAATTGAACCTATATGTGATGATGAATGGAAACATAAGCTAATATTACAATCAAAGGAAAATAATTTTATTAAATCGATCGGAGAATTCTTCATATATAATTTATTTAAACAAACAAATTCGACTGTTCAACAAAATAAATCAAATGAAAATTCTCAATTGAATTTTCTATCTATTGATAATAATTATATTATGAAATGGTTAACATTCATTTTACAGCATATTGAAAACTTTGGATTCGAAAAGAAAATTATTCAACAATAAAATGCGTAATAGCTAAAACCATTTTAATTTAATTATTATTATTATTATTATTATAGAAAAAATAGAATGTACGTGAGAAAACTCGTAGTAGTCATATTCATGTGTACATCCGTAATCGAGTCATGTGAGTTTTGATAGGTCAGTCATGAAAAGAAGTATGCTAATAAACTTTTTCTTATGTTCATTGACGGTAAATATTACATGATATAAAATTAAGAAAGTTCTAACATAGGTCTGTAAAATTTTTTAAAAGAAGAAACAGATGAGCCTAAAACGCAGAATACTGGAGGAAGACCTATACAGAAAAAACGTTAAATCAAGTTCAAAAGTAGATGTAGAGAGCTTTCACAGTTGCCCTTATTGCCGCACCCACACTTGATCGCATACCTTAATCCCCAAGGTTCCTTCACCTATTCAATTTCTACTATTAATATTAGCTGCATATCAATGAGCGTATAAGTTGCATTAAATGTGATTAGAAAATTTAATTGATAGATAAATACGCAAGTTTGGTCTAACAGTAGTTTAGAGATCTCGTAAGTATAAGTTTATTTGGTGGAATCTACATTATAATAAGTACAAAATCATTTGCAACTCGTCGAATCGTGAACTCAGTGCAATAACATAAAAACACCCCCTTGATCGATCATGTTAAAACTTCTGAAAAATGTTCGAGCTTTTGCGTGTAAACAATGGTAACGTCATAATTAAAGCAACTGTAAAAACGCAAAGTAAGGGTGTGTGTGGGTGTGGGGTGAGTGTGGGTGTAACGATCCCGGTTGATTGGATTTCACACATGATACTTAACCTTCCCATATCACTTACTCGTATATTATACATTGTCCTTACCTTTCTATTCTTATGCTTCTGTCCTTATCCTATTGTTCTCCTATATCGGCTCTCTCCTTGGCCTTATCTCCTCTCTTTTCATTCTCACTTCTTCTACTTGCGTATATAAGCGTGTGCTATGTATGTAAACGATGCGATTATATGATATGAAGGAATAGAATAAAGTGTAATACCATCAGCACTAACATCCCTTCTATCAAAAATCGTCACAGTGGGGTATGAGTGAGTGTGGGTGTGAATCTTCTGTTCGTTCCAGATCCACACCCGCCACACCCTTCTCTATAGAAAGCTGAATTAATAACTTTGAAGAAGTTTACTATTAGTATTTGCTTTCAGGAAAGATTCATACATGAAAACGTTTGCTTTCTCGAACAAAGATAATTCTATTTCTTATTACTTTGAAAAAATATTTTTATATTAATTTTAGATTACAAATTTGCTTTTATTTGAAAATGAAATGATCATTATTAAACATATTAATTCTCTTATTTATTAAAATATTTTCGAAAGATAAACATAGAATTATTTTTAATCTAACAGTATTATCTTATAAAATGTTTCCATTAGTATAATTATCATTTACTTGAAATTCATCATTACTTTCACCTGTTACTAAATATATTCATTTCAACAAAATTAATTGAAATTCTTACAATTTTATTAATCAATCAATCTTTTATAACAATGATAATAAAATTTGTTGTTTTCCTAACATAAATCTTAATTGTCTCAGTCATTATTATAAACATTATCTTTACTTATTCATCATCAATTGGATCAGCTTAGATTATCATTAGATGAAGATATGATAGCATTGATAAGAAAACCGGACAATCCATCGAGAATCCCTCATCATACAGCTAATTAGTTACTATTCTTTTAGGTCATCCAAAACCTAAATGATTCTAAAGAATAAAACGCTAATTATAGGAGCGAAATTCTCCCAGAGTTTTCATTAAAGTCGCCGGAAATGCGAGATTCGACTAAAAGTTTTGTCCTTCTTTTACATCATTTGATAGAGCGTGAGCTGCGAATCACGAAAAACAACGTTTTGCCTGACGCCAATGCCTTCTGGGTGTGAATGTCAGTACCAGACTTCGCTTCCTTTACACCCACACCCACACTCACACACCCCACATCCACCCTAGTTTCACCGATATCATTTATAAATATGCTGGTAAATGTTTTTGTTTTCTTAGATTCCAACGAATAAAACGAGATGAATGGTAGATATCTAATGCTGGATTTTATGGTAAATTTTAGATCGCGATCACAGTAAGATATATGGTCTTCTAATTAATTTGAACACATATACTAAGAAAATTGCTGATACCGCCCTTGTGACAGGAATCCTAAATGAAAGGCATAAGTTTATGGCTTCTATGTACGCTTCATGCACATTTTGAAAATTACATAGAAAAGGCAAATATCTGATATCTGATATCTGATATCTGCTAGACATTGAAAGTGTAAGGCATAAGTCTATGAGTTTTACTAACGTCTCATCCCAAATTTGAAAACTTTACAGAAAAGTAAATATCTGATATCTTTTAGGTATTCTAAGTGAAAGCCATAAGTCGATGACTTACATGTATCTGTCAGCTAAATTTTGAAAATTTTACGATTTAAAATTTTAACATACAGATTTTAAAACTGGTAACAATTTGAGATTTGCCACTTCATGACCACACTCACACCCACACGGGTCCGTATCACTTTGCCGACAGTCACTTTG